AGAGAATGATACAATTATTAAAGGGATTTTAATAAAATGGTAATTTTACTAAAAATTATTTTTTTTTTTTTTTTTTTTTTTTTTTTTCATAATATATATCATTAAAAATTAATTCTATTGAGATGAAATTAAAGTTATTTAAAGTCGTATTTTATTATAGTACCCTTTTCCTTTTCTTTTTTTTTTTTCTTTTCTTTTTTTTCTTTTCATTTCATTTTTCTTTTCATTTCATTTCTTTACTTTTCATTTCTTTACTTTTCATTTCTTTTTATTAATTTATTATTTTTTTTTCTATTAAAATTAATACAAGTTTTTTTTTTTCTTTAATTCTTTATTTTTTTTTTTTTTTTTTTTTTTTTTTTTTATTACATATGTATACATGTATTTATATATGTTAAATATTTATATGTTCATTAAGTATTTAAATATAATAGGAAAACAAATTGATGAGCTTACAAATAAAAATTATTTAAATTTTTTTTGAATTTTTTTTTTATTTTATTTAATTTTTAAAAATAAAGGAGTCAATTTTTTTTTTTTTTTTTTTTTATTTCATTTTAAAAATAATTGCAAATTAAGTGAATAATATGGATAACAATGAGAATATAGATTCCAATGATAATTCTTCTGATACAAATACAGTAAATTATAATAATGGGAAAAGTGAAAATTTATCTGAAGGAAATGATTTTGCAAAAGAAAATAACCATTTAAATGGGAATGCAAAAAATTCTAAAACAAAGCAAGAAAATGCAAATAAAACGAAAAATTCATCAGACAAAGATGATAATAATGATTATAATAATCACAAATTTCCATGTCATCCTGCACCACCAGTTCCTATAAAACTTTTTATAGGAAGAATACCAAAGAACGTTGAAGAAGATCAATTACGACCAATATTTGAAGAATACGGTATTGTTAATGAAGTGGTAATAATAAGAGATAAAATAACGAATGTTCATAAATCAAGTGCATTTGTAAAAATGGCATGTATCGCAGAAGCAGATAATGCAATTAGATCATTAAATAATCAAAAAACTCTAGACCCTCAATTGGGATCTTTACAAGTTAAATATGCTTCAGGAGAGGTTATAAAATTAGGATTTCCTCAGAATATTGAATCAGGTGTAGATCAAGCAAAATTATTCATCGGATCCCTACCAAAAAATATTACAGAAGACAATATTAAAGAAATGTTTTCTCCATATGGTTCAGTAGAAGAAGTTTTTATTATGAAAGATAATTCAACTGGATTAGGAAAAGGATGTTCCTTTGTAAAATTTTCATACAAGGAACAGGCATTATATGCCATAAACTCATTAAATGGAAAGAAAACTTTAGAAGGATGTACAAGACCTATAGAAGTTAGATTTGCTGAACCCAAATCAGCTAAACAACCACAAATCCCATTAACATTACAACCTATGCAAAATTCAACTCATGGAATTTCTCCACAACCACATATTAATAATCCTAATAATATTAATTATGCTAATAATTTTAGTATAAATAATAATTATCCTCGTCAAATTGGTCCATGGAAAGAATATTTTTCAGGAGAAGGAAGACCATATTATTATAATGAACAAACTAATACAACTCAATGGGAAATGCCAAAAGAGTTTGAAACATTATTTATGAACAGTTCACCAAATATGCACAATTTGTCAGATTCATCAGGTTATTTAAAAAAAAAAAATATATATTTAACTTTTAAAAATGTTTTCATTATTGTTTTCTATTATTTTTTTTTTTTTTTGTTTAATAGGCCCTCCAGGTGCAAATTTATTTATTTTTCATGTTCCTAATGAATGGCAACAAGCTGATTTAATTCAAGCTTTTTCACCTTTTGGTGAATTATTGTCAGCAAGAATAGCAACAGAAAAAAATACTGGAAGAAATAGGGGATTTGCCTTTGTATCATATGATAATATTGAAAGTGCTGCTGCTGCAATATCACAAATGAATGGATTTATGGCACTAAATAAGAAATTAAAAGTAACCGTAAAAAAAGGAGAAGAAGAAGAAATGAAGAAGTTTGTAAATCAAAATGGAATAAATTCTTTTCAGCAATTATCACACCCTCAGAAAAATATTCCATCACAACCTAATGCAGCAGCACAACCAACTGCTCCATCTCATCAAAATGCACAATCACAAAACTGTTTTTACACAAATAACAACTGTTATAGATGTGGTCCATACTAATTTTTTTATAAAATTTCTTAAAATATATTTTCAATTTATACTTGAAAAAATAAAAAAAAAAATTAAAATTATAATTAAAAAAAAAAAAAATGAAAAAAACAGAAAAAAAAACAAAAAAAAAAAAAAAATATAAAAATAAAAAAAATGAAGATAAAAATGTTATATGTATATGACCATATGAATTATTGATATAGAAGCACTGATTCCATAATGTTTAAATGTGTGAAAATGTATATATGCCTACTTTTATATTATTTTTATTAAATTTAAAAATATATATTGAAATGAACAGAAAAAGCATTCAAATTCAATTTTAATTTTTATTAGAGAAAAATGGAAAAAAAATATAAAAGGAGTGTGTATTGTGGTACTTCAGATATTAAAATAAAGCAGTTAAGTAGCATATATATATATATATATATATATATATATAAGATTAGCAAGAAATGTTTTAAAGAAAAAATAACTTCTTATTAAAAGATTATTGAGAATTTAATTTCAATTATATATCAATAAATGCATATATAATATAAATATTTCTGATTTAAAACATTAAGAAATGAATGATACGGTAACATTTTTCACTTTTTTTTTTTTTTTTTCTTTTTTTTTTTTTTTTTTTTTTTTTTTTTTATTTTTATGTAATATAGAAATATTTAATATATAATTTTTTTTTTTTTTTTTTCATAATTTTTTATTGAAAACATGATAAAATGAATTATACATTTGCTCAATGGCTTTATTTTATTATTATATTTTTTTTTTTCTTTGACGTACAATTTTGTTTATTATTTATTATTTTTTTTTATTTTAAAAAGTTAAATGATTAATATTATTGTTGATATGGGTTTGGTATTTTTTCTAAATTTAATCCTTAGTATTTTAAACTAAATTCGTTTATTATATAAATACATAGTGTGTTTTTGTATTTACTATTTTATTACCATCCTACACATATTTGATTATAAATTGTTATTTTTTTCCTTTTCAAAAAAAATCTGTAAAATTTATTACGCTAAAGTTAATAGAGCATGCAATTTACATTTTTTTATATTCTTAATTTTTTTTTTTTTTTTTTTTTCATTTAAGAAATACTTAAATTATTTATAATTTATTGTTCAATTTATTTTTATAATAAATTCCCAATTTCATTTTCTTCGATTTTTTTATTTTTGAAAATTTTTTTTTTTAAGTTTCCTCTCAAGTTTTCAATCGTTTATTTTTGTAATTTGTTTTATAATATATTTCTTATTTTTTTGTAAAGATTCTTCGTTCTTGTTTACAAAAAAAAAAAAAATAAAATAAAATAATACAGTGATTACGACAATTATTTATCTTTTTATTAAATTTTGAAGTAAAAATTTTAGTTTTTTGTTTTTTTTTTTTTTTTTTGTTGGTATATATATCACTTTTTTGAAACAACAATTATCTATTCATTTTTATTTTTTTTTTTTTTTTTTGTCTAATACAGCATTATTATTAATTATCTGTCTAACTTTTTTATCTATTTAAATTGTTACAGTTTATTTTAATTATTTTTAATTTTTAAAAAATTTTTCATAAAAATAAAAATTTTTCTTTCTATACATTTTTTGAAACATTGATGAATTTTATACATCTATTAATTTTAACTAATTTTTAATTTTTAGTTTGTTTAAAATTATTATTATTTAATTATATATAAGAAAAACTTAATTTGAAGTAATATTGTTAATAACAAACTAATATTTTTCAATAAAATATTTATAAGAAAAAAGGTTATTTTTTAATCTTATCTGTAAACTAAAAGGATATGCATATATATATATATATATATATATATATATATATATATATATATATATATATATATAAATATTTTTTTTTGTTAATACTCATATGTTATTTAGGTTTAAATGAACTTTTTAATCTTTTTTTTTTTTTTATAATTACAGAACTATTCATATGTTTTGTTTTAAAAAATATACCTTTTTTTTTTTTTTTTTATAATTTTCCTTTTTTTTTTTATGTATTTCTATTTAAATAAATGAATTTGTTAAGTTTTTATTTAAAATAAAAATTTATAATTAACGGGAAAATTGTATAATTAAAAAAAAATAAAAAATAAAACAAAAAATAAAAATTTTAATGTTTTTAATTTATAGAATAAATACATTTGAATATAATTTTAAAAGTTAATTATAAAGAAATATGTATATTAAAACAAAACATAAAGAATTAAATATATATATATATATACAAATGTAACATAAATATATTTTACTATAAAGAGCTAATTAATAATAAAAAAGATAAATTCACATTTTATATGTATTTTAAATATTCAAGAGAACTTACGAAAAAAATATATAAAATTATAAAATTTAAAATATCTTATGGAAAGAATTTGTTTTGAAATTAAATTCTACATATACCAAATACACATTATTCATTGTTGATAGTATATTATTAATAAATGTTAATTTTTTTTTATAGTATTTTATTTATATAAATATATAAGTTATTTTTATAATATATTTACAACTTTTTAATAAAAATATACTGGTTTTGACATTTAATATCGTAACTATCTACTTGCATGTGAACTTGTACACGATCATAAAAATTTAGATAGAAAATTTCTTTTTCATTTTCATCAATTTTTTTGAATCTTTTTTTTTTTTCTTCAAATATAAAACCATCTTTTTTTTTCAAGTAACAAATTCCTTCAGTACAATATGCTGGTATAAAAATTTGTATACCGTTCTTCTTTAAATTCGTAATAATAGCATTTGTTATTTGATTCCCAATTTTTTTAATATATAAATAAGAAAAGAAATCAACAGAAGCCCTTGATGCAAATCTAGCATTTCTATGCTTTTCATTTAATAAAGTTATTTGCTTATTTAAGTAAATTACATCCAGATATTTATTATGCAGTTGTTCAATACCATATATATGATTTAGAATCCTATGGACCATTATATCAGCATATCTTCTAATAGGAGAAGTAAAGAAGGTATAAATTTCAGCTGCTAAACCATAATGTTTTAACATTTCATTATTATGAACGTTATAACCAGATATAAAAACTGCTTCATTCATACATTTTGTAACTAAAACTTTTAATATATTTGATAAGTTCTGATCGTTTTTTAAATTAATATTATTAAGAGAGTGAGATAACTCTTTTGAAGTATCATATTTGAAGTCATACACATTAATAGATTGCAAATACTCACTTAGTTCTTTTAAATACTCTTTTTTAGGTGGAGGGTGTCTTCTCAATATACTTGCAGCTTTAAAATTTTGAAATATAATTTTTGCAACTGACTTATTTGCTAATAACATAAAAGCTTCAATTAATTTATTAGTCTCATAAGATACATATGGTTTTAAATTTTTTGTTTTAGAAAAATCGTTTGCTTCAAATTCAAGCAATACTTCTGTGTTTCCTCTTAATTCCAATGCACCTTGATCAAGCCATTGTTTTTTTAAATGTTTTGCAATGTCATTTAATAATCTTAACGCTTCTGCAATTTTACTATTATCATTCTTATCATCGATAATTTTTTGTGCTTCTTCATATGTAAAAGATTTATTGCTTTTAATAATACATTTCGAAACAGTAACATCGACTATATTATAATTTGTATCAAAGCAAAAAAGACAACTATAAGTTAGTCTATCTTGATTTTCAACTAATGAGCATAAATTCGTTGTTAGCAATTTTGGCAACATATCAACTCTTTGGTTAATTAAATAAACAGTTGTGCATCTTTTTGATGCTTCAATATCAAGTGGACTATTTTGTTTAACAAAGTAAGAAACATCTGCTATGTGAATACCAATATTAATAAATTTTTTATCATCCGAAATTTCAAGCGATAAAGCATCATCTATATCTTGACAACCTGGAGGATCAATACTAAATGTTAACACATTTCTAAAATCTTTCCTTTTCTCAAATTCTTCTTCAGGTATTTGCCATTGAGAAGGTGGTAAACATTTATATACACTTTCACTAAATTCTTTATTCGAAATGTTATATTCATTATAAATTAATTTCGTCTCTGTTTCAATATCATCACAATTACCCAAAACACTTAAGCATCTTCCTATTGGATACTTTGAATAAATATCCCATTTATCTATTACGGCAATTACTCTTTTATTTCGTAATTCTTCTGTTAAATTTGTTTTTATTATTATAAATGGTATTTTGTTATTAAAAGCTTTAAAAAATCTTAACTTTTTTATATGAATACTTTTATCTTTTGAATATTCTTTAACAATGCCACCATATTCCTTTTTACTTCTACTAATTATACCCACAACTTTTCCATATAGTTTTTTTTTATCATTTATTTCTCTCATACTTTTTTTTTCTTCATTAATTTTTTCATATTGTTCTCTTTCATTTTTTTTATTTTCTTTATATGATTGATTTTTTTTTTTACCATTCAGTAATAGTTCACTTTTCTCTTCTTCTTGTTGTTGTTCTTCTTCTTCTTCTTCTTCTTCAGGGCTAATTAACTCTTCAAAATAATCTTCTTCTTCTGTTTCTTCATTTGTATTATCTATAACTTCAACAGCAACAATATCATTTTGTATTGCCCTATTCATATTTTTAACTCCTCTTATAACAACTTCATCAAGATCTGTATATTTTACTATTGCCAATTTATTAACACAGATAACATGAAAAATACCTTTAATTATTTTTTTCTCTCTTAATTTTTGAATTATTTCTGTTTTGTTCAGATAAGGATCAAATATAGGTTTTTTATTGGATAGTGTATTATCAGTATTAATATATACATATTCTTCTTCGATATTTTCCTTATTTTCATTTAGAATATCCTCTTCAAAATACATTTTTAATATATTCATTTTAAAATAATTATCTTTTTTACTATTTTTTAATTGACTTACATATTTAAATAAAGTGAAACAAGAAATGTCATTTTTCATGCAATCCTCTTTTAAAAACTTATTATTAGTTATTACTATAATATTCAAATTTGAATTATGATGTTTTAACCATATAACTATCTTAATTATTTCTTGAATTTGTTTTATACTTTCATCTTTATTATCTACATATGTAAATTTACAAAATTTATTTACAAAAACAGTATATCTTTTGTTACAGTTAGGAGAAGATTCATCTATTTCATAACATAATTCATGTAATTTGTTATATAGGATTTTATTAAAAGCTCTAATATGTTCATATATTGTTATTGGTATTAATATATTATCAATATTGCAATCATATAAAAAATCCATATATTTTATTATTGTATTCATATCTAAAATTAGCACATTCCTTTCTCCATCTAATAACTTTTTCTTTTTATTTTCACAAACATTACATTTTTCAATCCCACAACTTATATCATTCCTTAAATAAACTTCTCTTATTATTTTTGTTATTCTGTGATTTAAGTTACATTTATAAAAATACTTCTGAACTCGTTGATCATTTTTTTTGTTTATAAATTTAAATGTATTCATATTTCATACCAATTCATGTAATAATATTAAAAAAAAAAAAAACAAAAGGAAAAAACATGGAACAAAAAATTCAACATAAAATAAATGAAAAAAAATATATATAAAGAAAAAATATTAAATCAACAAAATTTAAAAAAAAAAATAATTAGTTTAAAATAGAAAAAAAAAAAAAAAAATAAAATAAAATAATAAAATGAAGAAGTAGGATCCAATAATACACAAAGAAAATCATTAAAAAAAAAAAAAAAAAATTACGTATATTTTTGCATTAATGCTTTATTATTATTATTTTTTCTATTTTTTTTTTTTTTTTTATTGATTTAATTTTCATTAATTATTTTATATAGTACTTTTAATTTATTCCTTTTTTTTTTTTTTTTTTTTTTTTTTTTTTTTTTTT